TAGTACATGTCTGTTATAGTACAGGTCTACTGTAGTACATGTCTGTTATAGTACAGGTCTGTTATAGTACATGTCTGTTATAGTACAGGTCTACTGTAGTACATGTCTGTTATAGTACAGGTCAGAAAGAAGCTGAAAAAACAAAAAGCAGAAAATTAGCAGGAAAAAGCTGAAATGAGCAGCAACAGGTTGTAAACAGCTCCGTCCTTTTTCAATGAGAAAAACATGGCCGACAAAGCTAAATGTTTGAAAAAGTCAAAATTTCACAAACACCAAAAGTCCCAGCAGGAACGTTCTGAACGAGCCGAACGTTTTGATGCGTGACTCGATGACATGCACCAAAAACTGCTGAACGAGGAGAAAAGGTGCGTCTGTGTGAGAAGAGCTCAGAAACTTCTTTCTAACACGTTTGTGTCATGGCGTTTGTTGGGTTGTGAGACGTTGGAGGGTAATGGGATGCTTTCCCCACAGTGGTCGTTCGGGGTGCTGCTGTGGGAGCTGATGACCCGCGGAGCCCCTCCATACTCGGACGTGAACTCCTTCGACATCACGGTGTTCCTGCTGCAGGGGAGGAGGCTGCTGCAGCCCGAGTTCTGCCCCGACAGCCTGTGAGTGTGCACGTCACGGCTCGGTTAGCGTGAGGGATGTCCTCACAGCTGAGCTTCGGCTCGTCGCGGGCGGCAGGGGGGACGAGCTGCGAAGACTCTAAAACCACTGCATCGTCACACCAACTGGAAACCACCTCACACACAGATCACGTCTTTGTTTACTACAAGTTTAATAGAAACTGGTTAAACTGGTTCTGTTTGTGTCGTCCCGCTGCCAGACACCTGCTCCAGAGGTTCCCCTCAGGAGCAGCTCTGCTGAGGTGGACTTTCTGGCAACACACGATTGTCGTAGCGGCTCAGAGTCCTTCACAGCGCATACTCAGAATGCTGCTCCGTGCAAACCTTAGTGCTGTTACATGTTTGTCTGTTAGCAAAATATCCCAAGAACCACTCGACAGATTTCAATGAATCTTTTAGAAAGTACTCACTGGAAACTCATCTATAGCTGGTTCACTGTTGGAGGCAATTCATTTCAAGATGGCCGCCACAGCTAAACCAAATGAGCCGACACAAAAATGACTATAACTCAGTTAAATGTAGAGACTGAGCTAATGGCTGCTATGGTAGTAGCTGAGAGTCACTCCCAGCACTCTCATATCTCATGATGTCACATATGATTGGTTTGACCCCACAACTTTATGGACCACCACCATAAACATATGCAACCCCCCCACCCCCGCATCATTTAATGAAACTTTGCTTTCTAGTTTTATCTTGCTTAAAAGTTTAGTTTCTTAAAAATGATTGGAGTGACACAAGATTAATCTATGGTGGTCTAGGCCCCCAGTGGCCACCCCCTGGCTCCTCCACTGCACCTGGCTGTAGATAAAGTGGCCCCCTCCTCTCTCCAGGATCTGTCTCCACCTCGGACAAGAACCCCCCCCTGTTCTTCTCCACAGTGGAACTCCTCCTCACTGGAATATCTCGCACCAAAAACATTTAGGTTTACCTTCTCCAGTCCAGAAACACACTCTTCTCTAAAACCACACCGTTCCCTGTTCAGACCCCTCAGAGACATCGGCGCGCGGCTCGTTAATGTTCAGACTGAATGTAAAGGTGGGTTTATAGAACCTGGGGGGGTTCAGGTGGGAGGCAGAACAGAGAGAGCATGAGGAATGATGAATATCTGCGAACATTCCTCTCATTCCTCGCTGCTGATGCTCCTCAGGGCGTTGCACACACAGATACGTGGACGTGTGATAATTGGAGCGTATTATGGAATGAAGAGATTATCAAAGGTTTGTGTGGGGGTGAACGATAAAAAGCAAGACCCCCTCTGGAGCCTGATGGGATCATGGAGCTCATCTTTGGAGGCTGTCAGAAGCTTCCAGCCAGGATTACCTGCCGTGTTTCAGACATCAGCTCAAGATGGAGTTCCTCTACACCAGAGAGGAGAGCATCCTTCACCGTCGGCTGATTAAAGAGATGCAGCGAAACGTTCACACTACAGAGACACAAATCTATAAAAACAGGTTCTGTGAACCAGGGCTGAACCTGAGCCGGAACAGGATCCGGGAACTCTCAGGCTTACTAATTATAAAGTTATAAACATGTGACTGCCTTGAACAAATAAAACTTATATTGGACATGGTATCTGAAAATAATGACATCAACACCCACTTTAAACATAACGAGCTTCCTAACGTCACATCTGAGCTGCTCCTTCAAGGAAGTATTTCTGGGTCTACCCTTAAAAAAGCTCCGCCCCTAAAAGTTCACTCATGGACAATTTAATTAAAATAACAAAAATATAATTAAACAAGAACAACTAAACTGAAAATCAATTTTACAGTTTAAGTGGGTCATTGATAAAATTATGATTATTTATTAAAAATATGAGAGAAATGTTTGATGGGTAATCATGTGATGTACATCATGTATCAAAACAACGACGCAAATTTGTCCCAATAACAGATCAGAATGTTGAAAAGACCGTCCAGTTTACTTTCATAAAAAAAGTCTTCTCATTGTACAACTAAACAACGGAGAACTGAAGCGCATGAAGGCAGTGGAGATGGATGCATGAGAGAAGCTGAGCGTGCTCTATTCATACAGGGGGAGCTGTTGGTCAGGCTTCTTCTTGTTGCTCTCTAAAATAATTATGGAATCAAGTGTTTACTCGTATAGGTAAAGTAGATGTTTAACAACCCGTTAAAATGCACCAGAATTCAGGAAATGGTGTCTACTTTATTCAAAATTTTGAATTTTGAGTAAAGTGACTACCGGTATTTGTGTTCCAGCATCGTTTAGTTTACAAATTAAGCACTGAGGAAAACATATTCAAGTTTTCACTTTCATTCAAGGTTTTCAGTAAAGATCTTATGCAACGCTTGGAGCATGTGCCGGGGATGACTCTCAACTACTACCAAATCAAATGTTAGCGCCATGTCTATAAACTTCACTGTGTTTTAGCCTCTTTGTGTTGGCTAAGCCTTGTTAGCTGTGAGAGCCATGCTGAAGTGTGCTGACCCAAAGTTGTAATCAGTTGTAGACGTCCATCCAATGTTCTAAAAGTTTCATTACAATCCAACCAGTGGTTCAGGAGATATTTTGCTAACAGACAAAGAAACAAACACACACAGGCAAAACTACACTGTATTGCTTTTCCATTTTGAGAGCAGGCGATTATATTTGTTTTTACTGTTTTATTTCTTCTAGACTGCGCGTGACCTCACTTTAAAGCTCCAGTCGTTGTTTCTGTTCTTCAGAGAAGGCCTTGCTTATTTCAGCGCCGGCTACGTCTCTTTTCTGCCTCATGAAGGCAACGTGTTTGTTGGAGGTTGCAGCCTCTGCCGGCTCCTTGACTGACGCCTCTCTTCTCCTCCTGCAGCTACACGGTGATGATCGAGTCTTGGCACCCGAAGCCCGAGCGGCGGCCATCTTTCTCCGAACTGGTGTCAAGTATTTCCGCCATCTTCTCCAGCTTCAGCGGGGAGCATTACGTCCTGCTCAACACCACATACGTCAACATTAACAAAGTGAGTCCCTACCCCTCCCTGCTTGCCTCCACTGCCTCGTCCTCCTCCTCAGCCGAGCCCTCTACCTCCACGTCGCTGCCCTCCCCCTCCCCGTTCTTTTCTCGTGTGGAGCGCGAGTGCTGCACCTGAAGAATGAGGAGGTGGTGAAGGAGAGAAGAGACTCAAAAGGAAAAGATGAGCTGGTTGGAGAACTACTGTTTGTTTGAGCCGACACTGGACACTGCATGCTGGCGACAGACTGTTTCTGGCAGCTTGGACTGTTCTGTCATTGTACATAGACTGTGGATCTACAGAAACTTGAAGCTTCACTGTACGACGGGGGAATTTTCATTGACCTTGCCTCATTGACCCACGCCAAGAACCTTGGGGAGCACAATCCTGGACTTCCTGCCCTGTACAAGTCCCAGGAGCCTCTTACTGAACATGCGTTGTGTAAAAAAGCGATTTCCAAAACAACCAGGTGTAAGCTTCATCAGATTTACTACAAAGCTTTGGAGAACAAAAGATCAGTGTGTCAAGTACACACTGATCATCAGAGCCTCACCTGACTGAGGATCTGACCCGTTCTGACTTCCTGAACAGAAAATTCAGTTTTGTAGAAACTTCCAGCCCGTCCCGTCCAGCTCTATCAGAACCCAGCTGCAGTCAGAAGCAGGAGGAACTCTGGGAGCCAGCAGCTCTCAAGGACTCTAGAAGAAAGACGTCACTGTAATCGTATCAATCAGACCTTGAGGATAACAGAGTGATCTCCTGCTGTCCCGTCACATGAAGACAGAGTCAGGATCATGGAACATTTTCATATCATTCACAAGAACAGATCAAGAGCAGGGACAATTATGGAGCATGGTGAGTGAAATAATACACATTCCCTTGACACAAGTTCCACTGACGAACCTTCCCTCACTTTGTATCACCAAAGATCAGAATGTCCAGGGCCCCGGCCTCGGCTGCCCCCAACCTTCATCAGACTGCATGTGGTGGGCCCACATGGAGGTGGCTTCCTAAACTTCCCTTCGGCACAGCCTGGCTGAGCCCCGGGAGGAGAGGTTCAACCACCAGACACTTGTCAGCAAGCTCCTCCTCCTAGACCTGGCTCCAATGGAGTGCCTCTTGCGGGCGAGGTCATCTGACAAATACCTTGCTACGAAGAGACGAGACTGGGAATAAGACTCGAGCAGAGACAACGGCTCGATTCATCCTAGATGCTGCTTTCACACTTTCTCCTCCGACCACTGCTCCTACCACTCAAAGACACTTCAGCTGAGTAATCTACGCCCACTGGCATCTTGATACCATGTCGACCCGACAGACTCCTAAAACCTGAGGGGGGTTAATGGATCTGAGGGCTCCATCCACAGCAGTGAGGGTGTTGCTCATGTCTGTCATGCTGAACCAAAAGGCAAAGCTCTGGATTGACTGGTCTGTCTACGTTCCAACCTTCACCTGTGGTCCCAAGGTTTGGACCGTGACCAGAAGAACAAGATCCTGGATATATGCTGCTGAAACAAGCTTCCTCTGTTGGGTGGCCATCTCAGCCTTAGAGAGAAGGTGAGGAGTGCTCCTCTACATCCAGAGGAGACCGCTGAGGGGCTTTGAGCATCTGAATAAAATGCCTCCTGGGCTCCTCCCTTCAGAGGAGCATCATCTTTTTGAGCACATCCCACTGGAAGCAGATCTCAGGGCAGACCCAGAACCTGCTGGACTGGGACCACCTTGAGTTCTTGGGATTCCTGCAGGAGGAGCTGGAGGGTGTGACTGGGGAGAAGGATATCTGGGTGTCCCTCCTTGACCTGTTGGCCTCGCCCATAGCCACAGAAAAGCAAAAGACCATGGATGAATGGACTCCCCTTGCAGAAGCACATGGACATCCTACTTGTCTTGATGACATGCGCTCCGAGACATCCACGTGGCTGAATCTCTGTCTGTGATGTGTTAAAATGGCCTCGTACGTTTCTGTCCAAAGCCTGCACCCGTCATGAACACGGCCCGGTGTCTGACGGAGACGCACGGTGGCCTGCTGGGACAGAGTTTGGTCTTCTGGAAACTGAGGTCTGTGGGGCGTCGACTGCAGGCAGGACGTGTAGAAACCTGCTGCTGGGTGCACACCACTGCACGCTTTGTTTCTAATCACCTTTGAACAATTGTCTTTGCTCAGAATCATCTGAGGGAGTGATCCACCTGTGGTCGTCCGTGAACGTCCACAGATAACTGTGTCATCAGAGTTCTCACAACTGGAAGCCCTGAGGTCTTCAGGAAGAAGGATCGTGTTCAAGAGAGTACGTGATAGTTTCTTAGGAGAGAGGCTGGAGGACAAACTGGCATTTTGTTGTTTTTACATTTTAAGTGACATTAAGAAAAGAGCTTTATTATTTCTGTTAATTAAATGCTTTCAGCTGATCCTTTTACGTTTTATTTTGAAAAGCCAGGAGTGTATCACAGCATGACTGTAATTCTTTTTGCACCGGTCAAAAACATCGAATGACACCTGCTAACATCTGACTTTGGAGTTCATCTCAACACCTGTGCACCTCTCTGACTGGAGCGGTGGACAGCTACGAAGTCCTCAACATGTCCCACATTCTTTGCCAGGGTTCTCAAACTCTTCATGCGAGTGTCGCTGATTCAGTTTTGAGCGTTTTCTGCCGGTGACAGAAATCTTCCACAGGCCTGAATGTTCAGATCTAAAACCAGTGAAGAATAAAAATGATTCGAGTTCCACCGATCTGAAATGTGTCCCAAACTACAAGCTCGTGAATTCTTCTGGAATCAGGTTGATGCAGTCAAATTCCTTCATTGGTTTGCTGATGAAGTTCTTAATTGTATTTTTTAAGTTTGTACAACTCTTTGGCTGTAGATTAAAGAAACTCGTACGTTTTGTGCTGAAGTGTCTGGTGGTCCACGTGCTGTCTGTAAATGAGTTTAACTGTGGTCACAAACCAGCGTTGCGCTCGGTGTCACTCCTGTGTTCACTTCGTGCAGCTGTTTGTGTTTCGTGTGATCGGATTGGGTCAATAATGGACACGTATGAATGTTTGCTATGACAAGAAAAGTGCTGTACTATATTTTTGTATCAATGACGAGCCTCCTTGAGTTGTGCCACAAACAAACTCACCTAAACTGGCTTTTTATTTTTAAAGCAAAACCACTGCCAAGTTGTAAATAGAGAGAAGGAAGCACTGGGAGTGCTGGGAGTGCTGGGATCGATCGTTTAGACTCTAATCTGTTGTTTGTCAGGTGTGTGAGAGTAAAAAATGAAGTGGATCCAGCCGACTGTCAGCGCTGGACACCGTCTGCTCTGTGTGTGAATGAGTTGTTGATCAAATAAATCCTGAAGGTACAAGTTCCTACAAGTTGTTAAATAAACTTTGTGATAATAATAAAGTTCTGCTAACAGACTCCATGACTATTTATTGTCCTCCATCGGAGAGCCAAGTGGGGAATTGAAAATACTCTCCATGTTTTGGTGTTGTGAGCATGAATACTTAAAAAAATAAGTGAGGTACCAACTTCCTGTTTGGTGTTTGACTGCAGTTAAATGTGAGAAAGGTCACCATGAAAAACTGTGTTGCCTCTTAAAAAGCCAAGATGGCCGCCAACATAAATATATGTAAACTGGCCACCCTTGTAATTTGAAGAAACTATGCTTTGTAGGTGTTATATTGCTTTAAAGTTTAGTTTCCTCAAATGACGGGAGTGAACAAATATTAATTTACTGCAGCCAAGGCCACCACTGGCCCCCCCCTGGCTCCGCCACTGCGCCTGGTGGATAAAACTGCTCGCCAGGATCCATCACTCTGCACCGGCTCGGACAAGCAAAGGCAGAAAAACCCTGCTCCTCTCCACACTTTCACTCCTACCAAGTGTGCACCAAAAACATGTAGGTTTCCATTCTCTGTTCAGTCCCAGTCCAGAAAAACACTTGTTATATTTACCAGCTTCTTCCTTGGGGGGGGTCGCTGGCGTCCATGTCCGGCAGTGACTGCGTGAGAGGTGGGGACACCCTGGACAGGCCTCCTGTCCATCACAGGGACACAACGAGACAAACCATTCACACTCATCCTCAAAACTAAAAACATTCATTCCCTGAACAACAGGACTTTGCTGGTTTTTATATTTCATGTTGCGAACGTGATCATTGTTGCATCAGCAAACCTTCCACAGTATACCTGAAGCAAATGTGCTTTAGTTTTTTCATTACAAACACGAATGACTGAAGGTCAAAACCCATCCGTGCAGATTTTCAGCTGTTTGTGTGTGTGTGGGGGGGGGGGGTCTTTTCCACATTAAATGTAATCAAATGTTTTTTCTTGTAATAAATATTCTTGTTATTATTTTAGTCGTCCTAAAGTGGATCAAACCAACATGATGCAGCTGATGAGCCCTGAACCCCACCCCCCCCCCCCCCACACACACACACACACACACACACAAAGTAGCATAAACAAGGACACACACACACACACACCACCTCCTCTCAGTTTAACTGTTAAACGTGAACCGACTGAAGATGTTCACATGCAAACGCACACTAAGTGAGTAAAAAGGTGTTGGGCGTTTCATGTTGCGTTTGTAGTTTTGAAACGAGTGACGTGACCGTCGTGAAGTTGAGGTCGGTTTCGACTCGAGTTGATCTCAGCTGCTGCTTCTGTCAAACATCTGCACGAATGTTCCTTTACTGCTCACCTCCCACACTAAACTCAAGAAGTAAAAGAAATACAAACTGCAGTAGCAACAAATACTGAATGGACAAATGGAAGCTAATTGTCTCATTTCTGTAGGTGGTTCAGAAGTTTCACCAAGATCAATAATCAATAATCGACCTTCAAACGGCTGAACATGATCCGTGCTTCTCTGACATGAACCTTTATGTTATGTTATGTTGTTCGTTCTTGGCTGATCGTAACATTCGACCCTTTACTTTATGCCCTCCTCTCTTCTTACAAGCCCAACCAGAACCTTGATGTAGCCTCTGCTTGCTCCACCCCCACCCACACCCCCACCCCCGCCTGGCTAATTGAGCCGTGACCGTGGATTTCTGTAGAGCTTGTTGCCAAGTGGCCCAAGAGTTTGACCCGTGTAGGAGTTTGAGGATTTAATAAATGAAAACTCTTGAAAGATGAAGCTCTGACCTCTGGGACATTCTGGATAATGACCTATTGATGGGGACTCTGGTAAATTTGACCCCCCCCCCCCACACACACACACACACACACACACACCCCCGCCCGCAGTGGCTTCTGGATGGCACTGATGTTCTGCCAGATGTTACCTTCAAGGTCAGTGGTTTTCAGTCTGAGGGTTGGAGCAGTTTGTCTACAATCAAACACAACGTCCCAGTGGCTTTTAAACCCCAAAATACATTAAAGACTGGTTCATCCCAAAGATCCAGTCCCCCGGCACAAACAGAGTAATGTTGTGTATGTTGTTCAGTGTCAGGAGGGTGATCAGTCTTACATCGGGGAAACTAAACAGCCACTGGCCAAAAGGATGGACCAGCACAGAAGATCAACATCATCAGGCCAGGACTCTGAGGTCTACACTCATCTCCAGGTCAGAGGTCACTCTTTCAGGGATGAAGATGTTCACATCCTGGACAGAGAGGAACGATGGTTTGAGAGAGGAGTAAAGGAGGCCATCTTTGTGAAAAGAAACCGTCCATCGTTAAACAGGGGCGGAGCCTCCGGGTTCAACTGTCCCCCTCTTACAATGCTGTGATTGCTAGTATCACTCAGCCCTCTGTGAACAGTAAACAGCCATCAGGTGCTAATGATCCATTGTTAGGCTGATGGTCCTTCTTGAGCATGTGATCAGCTGGTTTTGGTTGTCAGCAGCAAACTGGTTGATCCACTCTGAGAAGGTGCTATTTAAGAGACTGAGCTGAATACAGCTCCTCAGACTGAGGAAGTCCTCAG